GTCAATGAGAAATAACAAATGAGCAAAAGTGTTCACATTTCAAGGTTTTATAAATATGTGAGTCAATGAGAAATAACAAATGAGCAAAAGTGTTCACATTTCATGGTTTTATAAATATGTGAGTCAATGAGAAAAAACAAATGAGCAAAAGTGTTCACATTTCATGGTTTGATAAATATTTGAGTCAATGAGAAATAACAAATAAGCAAAAGTGTTTACATTTCATGGTTTTATAAATATTTGAGTCAATGAGAAATAACAAATGAGTAAAAGTGTTCATATTTCAAGGTTTTATAAATATGTGAGTCAATGAAAATTAACAAATGAGCAAAAGTGTTCACATTTCATGGTTTTATAAATATGTGGGTCAATGAGAAATAACAAATGAGCAAAAGTGTTCATAATTCAAGGTATAATGAATATGGGAGTCAATGAGAAATAACAAATAAGCAAAAGTGTTCACATTTCATGGTTTTATAAATATGTGAGTCAATGAGAAATAACAAATGAGCATAAGTGTTCATATTTCAAGGTTTTATAAATATTTGAGTCAATGAGAAATAACAAATGAGCAAAAGTGTTCACATTTCATGGTTTTATAAATATGTGAGTCAATGAGAAATAACAAATGAGCAAAAGTGTTCACATTTCATGGTTTTATAAATATGAGAGTCAATGAGAAATAACAAATGAGCAAAAGTGTTCACATTTCATGGTTTGATAAATATGTGAGTCAATGAGAAATAACAAATGAGCAAAAGTGTTCACATTTCATGCTTTTATAAATATGTGAGCCAATGAGAAATAACAAATGAGCAAAAGTGTTCACATTTCATGGTTTTATAAACATTTGAGTCAATGAGAAATAAAAAATGAGTAAAAGTGTTCATATTTGAAGGTTTTATAAATATGTGAGTCAATGAGAAATAACAAATAAGCAAAAGTGTTCACAGTTCATGGTTTTTTAAATATGTGAGTCAATGAGAAATAACAAATGAGCAAAAGTGTTCATAATTCAAGGTTTTATAAAAATGTGAGTCAATGAGAAATAACAAATAAGCAAAAGTGTTCACATTTCAAGGTTTTATAAATATGTGAGTCAATGAGAAATAACAAATGAGCAAAAGTGTTCACATTTCATGGTTTTATAAATATGTGAATCAATGAGAAATAACAAATGGGCAAAAGTGTTCAAATTTCATGGTTTTATAAATATGTAAGTAAATGAAAATTAACAAATGAGCAAAAGTGTTCACATTTCATTGTTTTATAAATATGTGGGTCAATGAGAAATAACAAATGAGCAAAAGTGTTCATAATTCAAGGTTTAATAAATATGGGAGTCAATGAGAAATAACAAATAAGCATAAGTGTTCATATTTCATGGTTTTATAAATATGTGAGTCAATGAGAAATAACAAATGAGCAAAAGTGTTCACATTTCATGGTTTTATAAATATGTGAGCCAATGAGAAATAAGAAATGAGCAAAAGTGTTCATAATTCATGGTTTTATAAATATTTGAGTCAATGAGAAATAACAAATGAGCAAAAGTGTTCACATTTCATGGTTTTATAAATATTTGAGTCAATGAAAAATAACAAATGAGTATTAGTGTTCATATTTCAAGGTTTTATAAATATGTGAGTCAATGAGAAATAACAAATGAGCAAAAGTGTCCACAGTTCATGGTTTTATAAATATGTGAGTCAATGAGAAATAACAAATGAGCAAAAGTGTTCATAATTCAAGGTTTTATAAATATGTGAGTCAATGAGAAATAACAAATAAGCAAGTGTTCATATTTCAAGGTTTTATAAATATGTGAGTCAATGAGAAATAACAAATAAGCAAAAGTGTTCATATTTCAAGGTTTTATAAATATGTGAGTCAATGAGAAATAACAAATGAGCAAAAGTGTTCATATTTCGAGGTTTTATAAATATGTGAGTCAATGAGAAATAACAAATGAGCAAAAGTGTTCACATTGGGAGGTGTTTTGATTAGGAGGGTGTTAGGATAAACAGGTTTTACTGAAGTTGTCCCTAACCAGATATTAAGTTAATTTACAAAAACATAGAATTGTTAGAACAGAACATTTGATCTAAGAATGTTTAATATTACAAGAAAGAGCAGAATAGCTTTCCTATATTAACAGTTCTGGTTACCACCCTGTATATAACCTGAAACAGGATAAATGCAAGGTGAGCTGTCGATTTGGTTTTACGTCAACAAATCATATCATGCATGCCATTTTGAATTATGGAACATCAGAACATCACAAATACATCGTTGAATAGCCATGAGATACTAAATGAATTGAAATGGTGAGAAACAAAATGTAAAACAATTAAGGGATGATCAATATTTATGGGGTGAAAGTTTTGTCAGTTAACATTGATTTTTTAAAGAATGTGACTTTTAATTGAAAGAAAAAAATCATCAAATATTCTGACATTCATTATGGTAGAGAGAGGGTGGTCAATCTGAAATTTTATTATTTCACTTTTGAAGAATGAAACAAAGATCTGCTCTATTACTCTCGTAAAGTCTGACAACCTGTTAGGTTTTGGGTGGGTAGCTCTATCAAAGAAGGGACAACCTGTTAGGCTTTGGGTGGGTGCTCTATCAAAGAAGGATCTGGCCTCCAAAACACTTGAAAATGTATTTTGAAGTTATCATGAAAAATGAACTTCTTGAAACATCTAAGTATGTGCTTATGTTATGCTTCTATGCTAAGTGCTGCCAGTGAATTACCAAGAGATTTATATGTTTCAGTAATCGACACCTAGATGAGAGTGAATTTGAAAATTGTGCATCAAATGATGGAGGCACAAAATAAATGCCTTATAATCCAAACTGATGCATAGGTTCCTGAAATTAATCATAGGTAGAAATTCTACCTACTCAAATTGATTGCCCATTTGTATCCCCTGGTATTCGGCTTTGAACATTTTTGATATTCTTAAAACCATTCACCAGGGTGAAAACACACCTTCATAACATACTAATTCCGCCTATTAATTGTAAATATTTAACAAATTATCTTAAGAGCTTTGTATATCATCACTGCATCAGTAAGGAATTTTTGATACATTTGTATCAAGATGTCAAAGATTAAGCCTTGTAAAATATACAAAATTCCAAAAGAATGGGTCAATATTTAAAACTGGATGCAAATATTATTGGGTTGGGAAAAAGATTAGACAAGGATATTTTCCACCTGTGCTTCCAAATGATCGGCAATTCAAACCAAAGCTTTCCTTTTGTACCTTACACCTAGATACAGTCATGTGATCTATATGGACCAATCAGACATCATCCTAGGTATTGATGGGATATATTTTACATGGGATAAACAATGTGAAGGTAAATTTGAGCTGGAAATCAGTAAAACTTATCATTATTAAAGAAACACAATCTGTTCATTATGGAGGTCTACTAATGAACATGCACTTCTGGTAAAAATATTTGTATCAATTATAAGTTGGAACGGATGCAGTTATTTTGAAAACAACATTCTGCTGAGACTCATCTCTGGAAATACTCCAGAGTCAAAATGCTAGAATGCTGCAAACAGAATGTCAAAATGATAAAAACAGAAACTTGTTGAGCTTTTATCTTGCAAATATTGAACCAGCGGACAACCATTAAATGGCAACTCTATCCATGGGGAATCAATACACCTCACCACATATTTATAATTATTGGGTATTTTTGAAAATATTTTTCTAAATTTTTGAAAATATTTTTCTAAATTTTTGAAAATATTTTTCTAAATAGTTTATGCTACAAACAACAATTGTAATATAATTGTAGCCCCCATTGTAAGAACCTCATATGGTACACAATCAGGTATAAGATTGCAATAATTCATCTATCTGTGACATAAGACTTGGGTATCACAGAAGGCTATCAAAGTCCAGGGGCGGATCTGGGAACCAACAAGGGAGAGGCCGAATTTTAGGTCAGAGCCCAAATTTTGAAATTTTTCTTCAAAATTTGGCCTGAAATTAAAAAAAGGCCTTAAAAGGCCCAGTTATGATCTTAGGCCCCAAAAGGCGGGCCCAATTTTTTTCTGGGCCCACCCAAGGGGGGCCGGGCCCCCAGCCCCCCCCCCCAGATCCGCCAGTGAAGTAGTAACTTCCTCAATCAAATTTGCTTTACATTTCAATCAATTCCTTCACTGTTTCCTCAAAATTAATCCCTGATACTAAGGATCTGTTTTATGAAATGCATTGTGCTTGTGCATTCATTCATACGAAGTATCCCATTCCATATGCTTCCATTTACCTTTGCAGAGAATAAAAGAATTACAATAATTTGGGGTAGATATATATGAACAATTCACCAGGTGTATTGGTGTATAAGATAGGATGGTGTATAAGCCAACTAGGCTTGTAATACTAATGTTTGTCATTACATATTGAGGTTATGAAGAAATAGAGATCCCTGTATACAATCTCTGTAGAACATTGGCAACTCCACGGAGTAGCAAATCCCAATGAACAAAGGAAGTCATTTTTTTCGAGGCACGATTAAGATGAATGATAAAATAATTGGCCTATTCTAAAGTAAAATATCTTTGATTTGCGCATAATATAGCTATACTGTGAAAAGATGTCAAAGTACTACACATTCCAACATCGCGAGGCTATCTTGGGATTTTTAAAGTGTCCGGAAGTTCTGCTGACGAATTGCACAGTAGCGCTGAATTTATACTAGCATATTAAGAGTAAGATTTTTATATAGTTGTGCAAGCTCATCAGTTTCCATGTTGTTTGGTTCAGTATGGTGTTACTACAATTGCTTGGTTAATATTACCAGAGTAAAACAATAATACCGTGAAAGTATTTACTTAACATTAATCATTGACTGCACACACAACAAAGCATTGGTCAGCAGTTCAAAATCAACACACGATGACTTCTCTCACCATATCTCTCTCTTCTCACCTAAATTCCATGTAAAACTATAGAAATACAAACCAGACAAACATATATTCTATGCAATACATTTTATTCTTATAAATAGAGTACAAGTACATTGGAATGTTAGGCTCTTTACCCCCTTTTGTTCAAATCTTGCATTCTTCTAATAAGATCATCGTTCTTCGCCACCCAGGATCGCTCTGGAAAGGAATACAATTTCATGAAAGATATATTTCATTCAACACAGGTTAGTCTTGTGTTATTATGGTAGTTTGATGATAACCAATGTTTATCAATTGGGCTATCTTTGAGTATATCTTGTGCTTGTAAATTTCCTAATATCCGTGGGCATTCATATCACCAAAATATTTTTAATTGAGACAATAATCAATCATTTTTTAGCAACTCCTTTTGACAAATAAATCGCTTATATTGGTGAACTGTTTTGTGTTATAAAATGCAAAAATCTTAATTTAATGGGCCTTACGTTTTGAGAAATAGTTTTTCCTGTCAATTTTCGATCCACCTCTTTATTCGGTCTACTGTTTCTCTTACACAATTGAATTAATTTTAAATAATTATCACATACCCAGGCAGTAGTTTAAGATTTTGACATAACCAAGGCAGCATGTAAGTTCAGTTCTTTTGGCAGTATTGCAGGGTTTCTGGGCAGTTACTAATTCTTCCTTGTATATGTATTCTGTACGTACACTGAAATACATATATTGAATTTTTCCAATTAAATCCGAAGTGTAAGATTTGTAAAGATTCCCACTCACGGGTGTGTACCAAAATAACCATGACAGTTGAACATGTAGGGTAATGTACAACATGAGGGTGATGAAATTTGAGAAAATTTCATTGGTTCAAAAAGACCTGGTCTAGTTTCTAGATATTTAAATGTCTATAATAACAGCCTAGACAGTGAACTTGACAGAGAATTTGATAGTTAAACCTAAAAAAAAATCTCAGAAAGTTATATATGGTTTAACGCTGGGTAATGGTAAGGTACAACACAAGGAATTTGAATTTGCATTATATCATCGCCAGATAAATTGACCTGCACATTATTATGTCGTTATACCATATACTAAATTTGCAGTTTTGTAATTTGCCCCATGGTGTAACTGTTTAAAACATTTTGTGAAAGTTCGCCTTCATGATAAAAATGAGGTCAATTTTATGGAAAGCATGTGATGATTGGTTGATTTCCCATTCATTATCAGTCCTTTTAACTTTATTTCCATTGTTTATACTTTTTCCGAAGATAATGGAATTGCAAACAAGATCATAATATATGATGTGCTTCCTTTTTGATTAAAAAACTTATCCCAATATTTGTTTTTTAAAACTATGGCTTTTCTACTTTACAATATCTTAAAATGGCCCAACCATAATGCAATATGTTTTCCTTGGGATTTACTTACAAAGATCTCATGCCGTAAGCTACACAATTGCTCCACATGCAATTTCCCTTTATATAACCGATCTTAACTTGTCGCTGTTCTAATTTGTATACAACTCCCACTTTCTTGGCCGTAACTGTCTTGGCAGGAACCATACCTCCACTTCTGGGATCTTTGCAGCACCAATTTCTAAAGATGAACATTTAAATCACAGCTGTAAGAAGTAATACAATATGTCACCAACAGCAATTCGTAATGCAGATGCTGATTGGTGACATGAACTTAGAATACCAGTTGCAAATGAAACCAATAACTACAAAGCTTGGAGCAGGATGTCACTTATTTCTGGCTCCCATACTATTTCAATGGGATCTTTATAGGAGAAATTTATAAAAGCGTGATATATATTCTGCTGAATGAACTTGATCAAAATCATCAGACTTTTTACAAATTAGGCCTAACAAGAAATGTTGTATGTAAAGATAGCCTTATTGTATTGTAGAATTGGTGACATATCAATGTTTTGTTTCATTCCTTAACATGACAAAGGCACTTACCTTTCATGGTGGAGTAAAATACATGTATATGTACATGTATAAGCATTCCCAGAGGGCATTATTTCAATGCAGTGCTATTAAAATTAATCGTTGGAATCCCTGTAGATTACGATTTTTGAAACAAAAATCTGATCCTATTAATAGAAAATTGACAAAACTGCACTTCACCTAGTTGAGTGAACAGAACAACGAATATGATGTTCCAAAATGATACATACCCTCCATTTCCTCCATAGTTGGAAGTCAAGCTAAACTTCTGTGTGAACTCAGTGGGCCATTTGGACTTGGGAACAGCAAGAAGAGTGCTCTCAAAATTGGCGGCAAGCTCATCTGTGGCTTGATCGCAGCTGGCATACGACACCAAGCAAACCGCAAGTAAAGTGAATAACAACATGACAAATGTGTTGGTGATTGCTTGTGACAAGAGCAACCAGTATTTATTCAAATATTATCCAATTCTGATAGAATTGGGGTGTGTTGAAGAGATAATGAATAGATAGGTGCCGATAAGATATCATCACATTAAAAGTCAGAGATCAATAAACTGCATCTAAAAATGGTAAATTTTACTGGATGGGGGACACCCTTTTCACCCTGAACCTCCTGAACTAATGTTTTTCGTTTGAATTGCTCCTGCAAACTAAAAGTGCCTAAATAACATCTTGAAGTGAAAATAATTTCTTGAAGAAAGGGGACACCCCTTCTCAACTTTCAGTTTTGAATTGACTCAGGTCTATTTGTATCCTAATATTTTACCCATATGTTAATATCGTTAATGAAAAGCAAATCAGTCACAAGTATATCCATCCAAGAGCTCCAATAATCAAGTGAGAAAAACTCATCCTCCGATCACAGGGCTTCAAAATCCAGAATATATTCTTTCTTTACACCCCCTGCGATAAGCAGTTACCATTTTCCCGATTAAAAATTGGGAATCTGATTGGTGTCCCAACACTGCGACAGAAATCATGTATAAGTCATTGCCCATAATTAGATCATGTGATTCAGTTAAATCGGGCGCTTCCAAATTGGTTATAGCAGGGGGAAGGAGGTACGGATTCTGGACACCTGCTTAGGAGGATTGAAAAACCATGACTTTAATACAATTACGAAAAGTTCCTACCATTTTCAAAGTGGTGGCCATCTGGATATTGTACCACTATTTAACATTATACATCTTTCTACCAAATATGAATATAATCCATTCACTAGTATTTGAGACATTTTCTGGACAGACAAATGGATGGACTGAGTGACAGACCGATGTATGGCTGGATGGACGGACTTACGGAGGGCTTCACTATATCCCAAACAAACTACGTTCATTGGGATAATTAAAATGCAGTCTCTAAAGACCAATGGTAACCATTGGACGCAAATGAGGATGCTTGTTACCTTGAAAATTCAGGTACATTGACATGATCCAATACTTTTATAAAAAATAAATCTTGCAGATGTTTTGAATTTCTAGCAGAAATTTTGTATGATACCCCTCCACTCATTTTGTCTGTTTTCCGGGTGTGACTATAGACCCCTCGGTCAATTCCCCACCCCCCTGCATATTTGGTTGGACAGCATCAGAGTTGTTGTTTATTCATTAGGTCCAGAGAATGTGAAGTGGTTTGTTTATTGAGTATAATCTGATAAAAGCTTTGGATATCAACTTATCAGACACCACATGTGAGCATGAACAACAATATAGATCCAGTCAGGGCTTCTTTTACAGCTTTTCCATTGACCTGAAAACAAGCCTCATCCTAAAACTATGACGATTAGAACCTCTAAATTTGAAGGTTGATTGGATAATCAACAAATATGATTCGTCGAAAGAAATTCACAAATGTAAATTTTTTTTTAAATATAGATACTGGATTCTGTGATCAAAAATATTTATATGTACATGTATAAATGATCAAACTGCAAAGGTTTGAGCTTGACTAATATAATGTTTCTTATTCATATTGAAGAATGTCTCTAAAATCAGTAAGGTTAAATAAGAGGTTGATTATTCAATGAAATAGAAATATGAGTTGGATATTAATCATATCTAACAACAAAACCCTCCCAAACACCCATATCATTTAATTACAACAAGTTGTTCATGAACATTCGAAAATTGAATTTCTACATTTATGAAAGTTGTAAATCTTACACTTGGTTTAATTCTACTATATTTCCAGCAATGGCTCCAAGATAAACTCTGTTAGAGTAAACCAACAAATAACGAGGCAGGTAACACAATACAAACCTAAAGACTAAACCACATCATACAATCCCACTGATACTGCAAACTGGATACACTGTTGAGATCTTGAGACATGACTTTTAATTAGGGCCAAGTTAATGTGTTATTCTATGGATATGGTTTGTTTTCGGATAGATTGTGAGAAGTAATGGATATGATAGGATATAATGGAAGAATAACACACAGGTTACCCACTTGCAAGACCACATTGGAAGATTTCAGACCTATTGGACAAAACCTATTCCATTCTCTAATCGGAGATTATATGATACTTGTCAATGAGTGAGAAAGCACAAAGGGCAAAGTTACAAACAACCAAACAAAACATTGTTCTTTCTACTTGGTGAACAAGAACAAGATTCATGTGGTGCATGCAAGATTCATGTGGCACCTGCAAGATTCATATGGCACCTGCAAGATTCATGTGGCACCTGCAAGATTCATGTGGCACCTGCAAGATTCATGTGGTGCCTGCTTGCACATCTGCATGCCCATCAACACAAGAAGACAATAAAGCACTTTTCAAAGTGCGATAAAATTATTCAGAGGCGTAAAAACTGGTGAAAATACTCCTAGTTTAGTTTTTCATTGATTCTCAATTTCTAAATAAAACTCCCAAGTTATGAAATATCACATGAGGCATATTTAAAATGCCACCTCGGATAAATGTACCAACCAGACACATATATGGGATATCAAAAAAGTCTTTACATTTTCTTACTACTGTATAATCCAAATTGGTTTGCCATGCATGTTTTATCATATTATTATTTATCTTAAATACAAAAACATCATATTTCTGTGTAAAACATTATGGGTGATAAGACTGATATGGTTGCTATAGTAACCTTGGGGTAAGGGAGTGTGGGACAGATGTAATTCTTTATCTTATCTTTACACAGATGAGTCATTAAAAATTACTGATATACTGGTACGTTTTTGAATTTAATGTACATATTCTTGGATGAATAAATTGAAATATATTATGATGTCATCATATGCATCCCACAACACATTCTGGAGATGACTTCATGGCAAGGACAAATTGAACAAATTAAAAAACAAATGTATTAAGATCATGCAGGATAAATATGATGTCTTTCAGGACATTTTGGACAACCATCTTGAAAGTAAACCTTCCGTGAATAAGTATTCTTTAACTATCTAGCTAAAATGAGTTGTCGTTAGTTAAGAGAGACATCTATAAACGATGTTGAGAAATATTTCCTTAAATCAGAGATATATAAACCTTGACTGTTCTCCAAAAAGCAATAAGCTGACATTTTCATACAACTGACAATATAGCACAACCATATAATTTAAAAAAATTTTAAAATTACGAAGGGATTCGAACCCGGGACGTCCGCGTTCTAGGCGAGTGTTCTACCAATGTACTTCCCAGATATCACTTGATAGCTAGAGTAATTTAATGGAGGTTATTTAAACTTCTAATGAGCTAGTCACGTGACATTCTAAATTTAGAAATCTTCGACAAATCAAATGGCTGGCCAATCATCTGAGCAATCGAAAGACCAATCATCATAATAACACCTTTTATCGTGATTATTTTTATACAGCATTTTCCCCATTTGTTCAGTATTGTATATTCTCTCATTATACCTCAAAATATCACTTGGGACCCCGGGAACAACCCAAGATTGCGTTTTTTTCGAAAAAGGCAGCTTTAAGACCCCATCATTTTCTTTTGCAAGTAGACTTTTTGGATTATTCAGACTAATGTCACATTCATCCAGGCAAAATTATGTGATCTTTATTTGAACCCTAATTGTGATGTGTGAGCATAATTTATAACAAGGCATATACGTGACAAAATATAATCACCTGATAACTTAAAGCAAATGATTAGGAAAGAGTAAAAGGTTTTGGGCGCTGAATGCTAAGCACTGAACCCAAATCACAAAATAGAGCTCAACTTCATCAACATATTTGATAGCATGTTTCCAATCAGAATATTCAGTCAAAAAATTATGGCCTATATTTTCTTCTCTCTACAAGTAGAGTAGCTAAAAATCATTCCGCATTCAATCCACCAAAAATGGCAATGAAATTAAAATCATTTGTAATCCTCAGAGAGTGGTAAGCTATCAAATGAAGATTTAAAAGGTCAGTTTTTAGTGTGATCATAATTGATTCCTAGAAAACCAATCAACTTTTAGATGACAATTGAGTGGACACCAAATGGTAAATTTCAATTCTGAGAATGGATAGGACTGGGTGAATGTAACAAATGAGTTCCTTACCTCGACCACCTCCTCTACCTCTCTGTTGGCCACCTCTACCACGCATACCACCCTGTCCTCTTGGCTTCTGTTGTACCTCTTCTTTCACCATGTCTATAACCTCATCGGGAATCCTGAGGTATTTGATTGTACTGCCTCTGATATAGCACTCAGGCATTCTCCAGAACCTGTCACCATCCTAGGGTTAAAGACAAGAGTGATTATATTTCGGGGACCACTAAAGGACATTTAAGCTGGAAAAATAACTTCTCGGAGAAGCAAATTCCACGAAACAAAACATATTTTATTTTGAACATGTTATGATAGAAATAAGCGTAGTATTGTCTCCTTCAACATCCATGGCATGATATGACACTGTAGTAGAAATTCATTCTTAAGTAGAAGTCTTATGTACAAAAGCACCAGCCTATAAAATTTGGCCCAAGGCCTATAACTGGTATTTGATTTATCAGAAATTATGTTTTCTCTGAAAAAGCACCCATTATCTTTTCAGTAGTAAGGCATCTGGCTTTAGATCTAAACCAAATCTGTGGTACTAATTAAGGGTCTAACGGTGCACCGAAACCGTGGTGCTCCACTGTTCTTGGGCCTCGGTCGGTACGTTCGGTTCGAAAACTCCGATGTTCGGTTTTTTAATGGTTCGTTAATTCAGAAAAAAGTGCCGTTCGCTAAAGTAGAGGAAGATGAATCTCGAAACGAGAAATGAAGATTTCGGCATTCTAAACGCTCAAAAGTCGTACAAGGCCCACTGTTGGGGTTATTTTCTGTTGGGGTTATTTTGGATTTCTAGCGAGAGATGGTGTTCCTCTCCCGGAAAGAACGATATGCCGGCTTTGCAAAATCGTTATGGTATATGAGAAAGGTACTTGGGTGCATCAAAAAGTTTTGCAATTTTGACACTATCTCAAGTTCTACATTTAGCTTTGCTTTGAAATT